TTGTTTGGGAAGCTCTTTATCTGCCCTTTGATTCTAAATGATAGCTTTGCTGTGTAGACTAATCTTGGCTCTAGGCCCCTCCTTTTCATGACTTTGAATATTTCTTGCCAATCCCTTTTGCCTGTAAAATTTCTTTTGAGAAATCAGCTGACAGTCTTATGGGAACTTGCCTGTAGGTAACTAACTTCTTTTTCTTTTGCTGCTTTTAAGATTCTCTCTTTATCTTTAACCTTTGGCATTTTCATTATGAGTGTCTTACTTAGAGTGGGCCTCTTGGCATCCATCTTGTTAGAGAATCTCTGTGCTTCCTGGACTTGCATGTCCATTTCCTTCACTAAATTAGGGATGTTTTCTTTCATTATTTTTTCACATAGATTTCCAATTTCTTGCTATTTCTCTACTCCTGGCACCCCTATGATGTGAATGTTGGGCCACTTGAAGTTATCTCTGGGGCTACTTATGCTGTCCCCATTTTTAAAATTCTTTTTACTTTTTCTTGTTATGATTGGTTCTTTTTTGCGTACTTATGTTCCAAATCATTGGTCTGTTCTTGGCTTCCTGCACTCTGCTGTTATTGCCCTGTAAATTGTTCTTCATTTGAATTAGTATAGGCTTTGTTTCTGACTGGATCTTTTTTATGTTGCCAAGGTTATAAGTCCCTCGACTATCCTTGTAACCTATGTTTTGGATTCTGCATCTGATAGATTGCTTATCTCCATTTTGTTTAGCTCTTTTTGTGGAGTTTTGATCTGTTCTTTCATTTAGGCCATGTTTCTTTATCTCCTTGTTTGGGCAGCCTCCCTGTGTCTGTTTCTCTGTATTAGGTAGAGCTGCTTTGACTCCGTGTCTTGGTAGCATGGACTAATGTAGCAGGTGTCCTCTAGGGTCCAGTGGCACAGCCTCTCCTGTCACCCAAGCTGGGTACTTGAGGTGCACCCTTAGTGTGGACTGAGCACACCCTCCTCTTGCACTTGAGCCTTGGTTGCTATTGGCAGATCAATGGGAGGGATTTACCCAGGCCGGTCAGCTGCAAGGATTGGCTGTGACAACTTACTACCAACCTCTGCCCTCTGTGGAGGATCAGCAGTGCTGAGGCCCACTCCACAGAGCAGGACTTACTTCATCAGGACTCTAGTGCCTGCTTACTCTGCCCCTTGAGGGTATCATTTGTGGAGGTGTTTGGATGGTGCTGCTCCTCTGTGGTCTGTAACTCTCCAGTGGATGGATGCACAGGCTCTGGAGTTTCCCAGGAGGTAGACGTGCAGTGCAGGGTCAGCCACTGCTTGTGTTCTCTCTGGGTCACTTGGCATAACCTATAAAGCAATCTGCAGATGGGTGCTACTTGTGCTGGGCTTAGGAGTGCCTAAACATGGCCAGGCTGTGAACCAAAGCCAGCTGCTGCTAGTGCCAGGCCTGGAGCCATTTTGTGATAGGTGCAGAGGCTTGTTGAGACCAGCTGTGAGGATTTAGGTAGATACGAAGCATGAGCCAAGAGAAGCATTCATATGGAAAAGCCACTGTTAACAGGTTTGGTGGGTTTGTAAATTGGGTTGGGCTGAGAGCCTCAGGGAATCACCAGGGCTGGGCAAACATTGTTAACCAGGTAGATGTTACATCAGATATAGCACCTGTCTGCTGTGTGGCACTGTGTGGGGAGGATACAAAAAAGCAACAATGGCTTATGCCTGCTCTTTTGTCTGGGAGAAAACTGTCCTCAGCTCTTGCCCTGATGCCAGGTACTTCATTTCCTCTCCATGTGTGACTGGTGCTTTTCTTTTCTTTTTTTTTTAATTTATTTATTTTTTTGAATTGATTATGCTGTTACAGTTGTTCTATTCCCCCCTTCATTCCCCTCCACCCTGCCCCCCCAACCCCACCATTACCCCCCTTTAGTTTATGTCCATGTGTCTCAAGTCCTTTAGGTTCTATATTTCCCATACTATTCTTGCCCCCCCCATCTATTTTCTATCTACTGTCTATGCTACTTGTTTTCTGTACCTTCTCCCCCCATCTCCTCCTCCCACTCCCCTATTGCTAACCCTCCTTGAGATCTTCATTTCTATGTTTCCACTCCTGATCTAGCTGTCCTTTTAGTTTGCTTTCGTTTTAGGTGTGGTTGTTAATAACTGTGAGTTTGTTGTCCTTTCACTGTTCATGTTTCTTTAACTTCTTTTTTCTTAGATAAGCCCCTTTAACATTTCATATAATAAGGGCTTGGTGATGATGAACTCCTTGAATTTGGTCTTATCTGAGAAGCACCTTATCTGTCCTTCCATTCTAAATGAAAGTTTTGCTGGGTAGAGCAATCTTGGTTGTAGGTCTTTAGATTTCATGACTTGGAATGCTTCTTTCCAGCCCCTTCTTGCCTGTAAGGTCTCTTTTGAGAAATCTGCTGACAGCCTGATGGGGACTCCTTTGTAGGTGATTGTCCCCTTACTTCTTGCTGCTTCCAGGATTCTTTCCTTCATTTTAATTTTGGCTAATGTAATGATGATGTGCCTTGGTGTGTTCCTTCTTGGGTCCAACTTCTTTGGGACTCTCTGAGCTTCCTGGATTTCCTGGAAGTCTGTTTCCTTTGCCAGATTGGGGAAGTTCTCTTTTATTATTTGTTCAAATAAGTTTTCCACTGGTGGCTGTTCCTTTCCCCCTTCTGGTACCCCTATAATTCGGATGTTGGAGTGTTTAAAGATGTCCTGGAGGTTCCTAAGACTCTCCTCATTTCTTTGAATTCTTGCTTCTTGACTCTTTTCTGTTTGGCCATTATTTGCTTTCTTCTGGTCCACTCCATTGATTTGAGTCCCAGTTTCCTTTTCATTGCTATTGGTGTCCTGTGCAATTCCATTCATTTCAATTAGTTTCGCCTTCAGATATTTGTCTAATTTGTGTGTATAATCAACCAGTTCTGTGAGGATCCTGATGACCAGTGTTTTAAACTGTGCGTCTGAGAGTTTTGCTATTTCTTCATCGCTTAGATTTATAGTCTCTGAGGCTTTGAGATCTTCTTGAGCCATTTTTGGTCTATTCTCGCCCTTTAAGTGTGAGGAGCAGTGCCTTGGACTCCCAGGTCGCTGGGTTGTGACGCTGTATGTGGGAGCGTGGTCAGAGTGCTGGGTGAGGAGCAGAGCCTTAGGTGGTTCACCAGGGCAGGGCCACTCAGAGTCGCTGGGTTATGACGCTGTATGTGGAGGCGGGGTCAGAGCAGGGAAATGGTGGCGCCCTCCCTGCCACTTGCTGTGGGGACCCGCTCGGTTCCAGTCCAATCGCCCACTCCCTCGCTTGTCTATCTGCGCACAAATGTGCGACCACAGTCAACCCGCAGCCCTGCTCCCGTGCTGTTTCCCCCGCGGTCGCTTGCTTGGTCGCTCACTAGGACCAACCTCGTGCCTGGATTCCGCGCCTGAGTCCGCCTGACCAAGTTTTCCTGTGCAACCCTGCTCCACCAGCTGCTGGTTTCGCCCCTTACCGATCAGGCTGAAGAATTTGTTGTTAACAGACTTCCGAAAAGTTCAATTTTCTGTGTTCTGGCTGTGTTTTCTGTTGCTAATATTTAGTTGTCTCTAAACTTGGTTGTGTGAGAAGGCACGGCATATCCACCTATCCCTCCATCTTGGCGGAAGTCCTCCCTATTAGGCTTCTGAAAGCAAAACTTGTAAATAGGTAGGTGGTCAATACAGTCAAGGAAGGTGGTTCCCCCCCCCCCTTCAACTCTGGTTGATTGTAGAACATAAGACTTTCATATTGAAACCTCCTCATTCCATTAGAAGAGATGATTTTCAAACAAATTTTTCCCTATGTTACTGAGCAGAGTGGGTCCCATCCACCTGGCATCTTGGTGAATGACCGGACCTGTGCCATGTTACTCTTGATCATGGTGAACCTCAGGAAAGACAGGTCTTAAAATCCAGGTGCAGCAGGACAGGATCTTGCAAGGGAGCCTTTTGCAGCTTCAGAGTTGCCAGTATAGGCACTATCAAAGCAGCAGCATCTCCTTTCTTATTACTCCAGGTTACACGGCCTCCTTCTTCATTATAAACTACACAGCTGCTTGTTTACATCTCCCATCTCACTGCTCTCTTTCAAACAGAGTGGTAAAAATCCCTTATTACAGATAGCATGTCTCCTTCACCACTCCTCTATGGCCAAGAGAGTCCTCCTTCCCAAGCTGTATGGCCAAGAACAGAAGGAGAATTGCTGCTGTACCTTGTTTAAATTTAGGTACCTCTTCCATAACCCCATTTCTGACTCCTCCCACAGTCGACTACATGTGCCAGTTCTCTGTTATCTTCTGCCTTTCTCTAGCTGCCATTGTTAGTGCAGGCAGGCGTGGCCTGTGACTGGGAGTGAACCCATTTTCTGCTTCTTACAGGCAGGCACAGCAAGCTTCTCAAGCTATGGCATGAGTCAAAGTCATGCCCATCTCCCTGGCTTACCACATCTATTTCCATAACTGTAACACTGGCTACCTGGTATTGATACACAAAGTAGCTCATCTCCCAGCCTTGGCTGTGGAGGCTTCTTTGGGATTTTTTCCCCCTTTTTTCTATATTCCTGGGAGGAAGAGGGGCTTCTCTGGTTCCAGGACCCCCCCTAGCTCAAACACTGTTCTGAGCCTTATAACCACATCTGTTACACCCGGATGTTTCTTTTTTCTCAAACTATTTTGAATTCTTTCTGGATATTCTCATAACATTGGCTTATTATGTACTTGTCCAAAAAATGAGTGCTGTTTTTCACTTTAACATGTTTTCCCCATACCTTCATGAGTCCAATATACCTAGGATTGAATCCAGTATCACTTCCTAGCTGAATGTCTTGAAAGGAATAGGTTAACCTCTAAGCTGTAATTTCTTACTCTCTAATACAGATATTTATAACACCCCCTCAGAGGAGTTGTGAAGATTAAATGAAAATATGTAGATTGTTTAATATAGTAGTTGACACTTGAATAGAGGTAATACTACTGCTGATTGCTTTTGTTCTTTTTTTCCTTTCCTTAACAGAATACATCCAAGCAATGATTCTAGTGAATGAAGCCACTAGAAATAACAGTTCAACACTGATAAAGGGTATGTACATTTCTAATCCCAGCCTAGAGTATTCTTTGTTATTTTCTTGATCCGAAGCAAGTTTGCATAATTATGTCAGGCTAATTAACGAAAGATAATTTAAAATAAAATGTAAGACCTATACTGGTAAATTATGTAAATAAGTTTTCCTATTAAATGAAAATCCCTACCCATCCAGTGATAAGAAATGCATACCCTACAAAGCCCCCTAGGGAAGGAATGAACAAATGTATCTCTTCAAAAAAGTTTTTGTAACCAAGGGCAAATAGAATTTTAAGACTCCAAACCACTATAATTCAGTTTTATGTGAAGAACAATACTAGAAAAGAATGTTCTGGTATAGATAAATGGGTGGCAAATTTTTTTATTTCTACATTATTACTAGACTATCAGTCTTCTAAACTCTAAACAAATTTATTTTAGAAGGAATTAATCAAAGATAATATACCAGGGCTAGAAAGAGAAAAATTGAACATTACTTTATTAGAATTATTATCTTACAAATCTTAGTCTTTCACTGATTTGCTAAAGTATTGAAGTACATTTACTAGATTTTAATTACTACTATGAAATATCAAATTATAATAATTTTTACTGTTATAATTTGGAGCCTTAAGGTTTTAAATCTGAAAATATAGCTTAGTGTTATCAGTATATTTTAAAGAAGTCTTTTGTTACTGGTAAATATTCTCAATTTCAATAACTAACATTTTTAGAATAGCAGATTCTGTAAGGAAACAATTAAGGCATCACACTATCCTTCATTTATACTTGGAATTAACTTGCCCTTTACACATTAGTTTGGAAGAAAGGCTTTTAAATGTAGGAGGTGGTCAGAGGAAATACAGGTAATTCTAAACAATTCTTTTTTTCTTCCTGAGACAGTCTATAAAGTAAGTTGGGTTTTAGTTTCAGTCTTTTAAAGTAATTTTCTCAATGGAGATGCTTATTATTATAATTTCATCTTTTTTATGTTGTTAATTTGAAAAGTAATGAATGTATTAAAATAAAAGTATGTGTTTGCTAGTGGTAGACCAATGTTTATAAGTGATGGGGGAGGTATGTAATTAACTTTTTTGGCAAATGCAAGAATTAACAACTTTCTAGTAAGAAAGTTTTATGTTAGTATTTTAAAAAATATTGAGACTGGGAGAAACGAAAGGATTTGGTGCTGAGGTCAAAACAAGCCATCCCAAAGCCAGCCTACTGTACTCCACAAGTCAGAAATTACTATTTTCCTTGCTTCTGTATGACAAACTATAAATATTTGCAGTGTGCTTATACAAAGGATTGGATATCATATTCTTGATAGAAATTTTTCCCCTTTTCTCTTCAATAAATGATTAATTTTAAATCTCCATATTTATCAGCAAGTCTTCTTTATTTTAAAATATATTTTATTGATTATGTTATTACAGTTGTCCCATTTTTTTCTCTCCTTTATTCCCCTCTGCCCTGTACCCACACCCACCGGCACTCTCCCACTTCTTAGTTCATGTCCGTGGATCATGCATGTAAGTTCTTTGGTTTCTCCATTTCCCATATTATTCTTGACCCCCCCGTCTGTTTTGTACCTATGATTTATGCTTCTTATTCCCTATACCTTTTCCCACATTCTTCCCCCTCCATCTCTCTTTTGATAACCCTCCATGTGATCTCCATTTCTGTGATTCTGTTCCTGATCTAGTTGTTTGCTTAGTTTGTTTTTGTGGGGTTTTTTTAGGTTCGGTTGTTACTATCTGTGAATTTTTTGTCATTTTACTGTTCATCATATTTTTTTTATCTTCTTTTTCATAGATAAGTTCCTTTAACATTTCATATAATAAGGACTGGGTGAATGATGAACTCCTTTAACTTGACCTTATCTGGGAAGCACTTTATTTGCCCTTCCATTCTGATAGATTTGTTGGATAGAGCAATCTTGGATGTAGGTCCTCGCCTTTCCTGACTTGGAATACTTCTTTCCAGCCCCTTCTTGCCTGCAAAGTTTCTTCTGAGAAATCAGCTGACAGTCTTATGGGCACTCCTTTGTAGGTAACTGTCTCCTTTTCTCTTGCTGCTTTTTAAAAACAATATTTTATTTATTTATTTTTTGGAGAGAGGGGAAGGGAGGAAGAGAGGGAGAGAAACATCTGTATGTGGTTGCCTCTCAGGTACCCCCTACTGAGGACCTGTCCTGCAACCCAGGCATGTGCCCTGACTGGGAATGAAACTGGTGACCCTTTGGTTCATAGGCCGGCACTCAATCCATTGAGCCACACCAGCCAGGGCTCTTGCTGCTTTTAAGATTCTCTGCTTGTAATAGCATAATCAATAAGAAAAATACTTGAAAACAAACAAACAAAAGATTTTCTGTTTGTCTTTAATCTTGGGTAATGTAATTATGGTGTGCCTTGGTGTATGCTTCCTTGGGTCCAAGTGCTTTGGGGCTCTCTGAGCTTCTTGGACTTCCTGGAAATTTGTTTCCTTTGGCAAATTGGGGAAGTTCTCCTTTATTATTTTTCAAATAAGTTTTCAATTTATTAGTCTTCCTCTTCTCCTTCTGGCATCCCTATGTTTTGGATGTCAGAATGTTTAAAGTTGTCCCAGAGCTTCTAAGCCTCTCCTCATTTTTTGGAATTCTTGTTTCTTCATCCTGTTCTAGTTGAATGTTTATTGCTTCCTTCTCCTCCAAACTGTTGATTTGACTCCCAGTTTCCTTCTCTTTACTGTTGGTTCCCTGTACATTGTATCTTATTTCACTTTGCATAGCCTTTACTTCTTCCTCTATTTTGCAACCATACTCAACCATTTCTGTTAGCATCCTGATTACCAGTGTTTTGAACTGTGCATCTGATAGGTTGGCTGTCTATTCACTGCTTGGTTCTGTTCTTGGACCTTTGATCTGTTCTTTCGTTTGGGCCATATTTCTTTGTCTGGGTGGGCCTATTGCGTAGTAAGTGGTGGAGCCTTAGGTATTCATCAGGGTGGAGCAACCAGTTCACTGGGTTGTGGTGCTGTATGTGGGGGACGGGTCTGAGGAAACAATGTCACTTGCTCTGCTCTTGGCTGGCTTTCTATCACTTCCCCTGCTAACTACAAGCATAATTGGGCTCTTCTGGTGTGATTCCTAGGTGGGCAGGTTTGTTTGCATTCTAGGACCATGTGGATCTCTCCAATGAACTCTCCTGTGTGGCTGGGCATTTCTCCTGCTGCTGCAACCCTTACAGGTGTTTTTTCAGTCAGAGGTTATGAGGCTTTCTTGCCCCAGGCTGGAACCCTGGGTTGTGAAATTTGTATCACTACCTTGTTGCTCCTCTCGGTTTATCCACACACAAATGTGGGACTACCCAGTATGCCAGCTACCACCTGGCCATTCAGGTCCTGCAGCTGCCCCCTTGCCTCATTTCTTCTCCGTCCTGGCTACCCATCTCAGTCATTCTTACCAGTCTGGATGAATGTTTCTTTAACTCCTTGGTTGTTAGACTTCCATACAGTTTGATTTTCTGGCAGTTCTGGTTGTTTTTTGTTTTTAATAATCAATTTATATAGCTTTCTTCAATTATCAGATTTTAAACCTTCTTTCTTTACCTAGGTAAGTAAAGAAGGATATTTGTTTTTCCATGAATCAAGGAGTGTCCTTGGGTTATAACTTAAACTTTTATTTATTTAATCTTTTTTTTCTTTTTATTAATAAGACTGCTCAGCACTAAAGGACCAAGACAAGTGAATAATCCGAGGCAGGATGAGAGATCTTTTTTTCCTAAGGTCCACCATTGTGTAGGAAACAGCATATGTTTTTTCAGTTCTTTAAACCAAAAATACAAGTATTCCACATACCATTTTTCACAATAAGAACTGGAAAGCTGTAATTTTTTGCATTAAATACATAGCTTATTTCTATATTATAGTCATGTTAAAATAGTAGATTAAGAAAAATAGACAAAAAATGAAATTAAGTTCAGGGACATAGAGGAGAGACTAAGAGAAATGTAAAAATACAAATGGAAAGACAAAAATAGATACCCAGATTTCCTACCCCGTTACCCCCCCATAAAATAGGTAATAGTAAAACAATGAGAAAACAAAGGATATATAAAAGTTTCCTATTTGTGACCTTTTTATAGAGCCTTTAAGAGTTATGTTATTTTTCTGTAAAATGCCAGCAGAAGTTGGGTCATTTAATGGGGACCTTAAAGGTTGATTAAAAATCAGATACAGTTTAGGCCAAACTGGAGTTTCTGCATTAGAAATCTCTTCTTTCTTAAGTGTTGCTTCATCTTGTCTTATTTTCTTTCTTTTTTAAAAAAATATTGACACCTAACTTTTTGGGGCAATCTTGTTTATCTTAATATGTTTTCAGATTTAAGGACTTCATATATCTCTAGTTAATTAAGGTATTATTTAGATATTAGACTGAATGATTTTTAATTGGTGTACTTGTTCTTGATGTGTGTATTTTTCTTTCATGTAGCTCATAAGTCTGTGACTGAGAATGAACAGAAAAACAAATCACATTCATGGCCATCTACATCATATGAAGAATCCTTTCCAGAAGACTGTACAGTTCTGTATGTATATCAGTTAAATTTATTTATTTTCTTAATGCTTTCGCTCCCAGATAGAGATTTACTATTTGTAATCATTTGACGGAAGAGTAGATAGAATATATGAAAGAAAATTCCATCAAAAGCATTGAAAGTTGTAAATTTTAGTATTTTGTATGGGATAAAGATTCATTAGTCCCTTAATAGGTTATTTATTTTGTTAATATCTTTAGGTAATCAAGTCTTTCAATAAAATTTAGCTTAAGATATCTTTGTATATTATTATTATACTGAAATCTACCAAATTGTTCTTTCTTTACTATAAAAATCTTTTTCTTGGATTATTTCTTTTAAAGTTGAGTATTTTTAAAAGTATTTTTTTCAGTATTGGTTCAGTTCTGAAAATGCCTAAAATCTCTAAATTAGTATCAGAAAGTGTATAAGAATGGCTACATTTTTATGACCTTTTCTTCTTTTACTAGTAATTTCAGTAAAGATTCTGCAACAGAATTCCTCAGTAGAATTGTATAGGAAGTAATCTGCCACCCTTGACATTTAGTCTTTATATTTAGTAGGTAATGCCTGTGCTAAAACTTTTAGGTACTAGTTAAAGGGAAGTTTATGAAAATGTTTTATGCTAGAGTAAAGAACAGAATTTTAAAAATCTGAAAAATGTCTTTAGAAAGTAAGTTATTAATTTGATTGTCCTTGCAGCTACATATTTTTTCACTTTTATTTTTTATTTTTAAATATATTTTATTGATTATGCCATTACAGTTGTCCTATTCCCCCCTTCATTCCCCTCTACCCTGCACACCCCTCCCCCACCATTCCCTTTAATTTATGTCCATGTGTCACAAGTTCTTTAGATTTTGTATTTCCCATACTATTCTTGCCCTCCCCCTGTCTATTTTCTATCTACAGTCTATGCTTCTTCTCTGTACCCTCTCCCCCCTTCTCCTCTTCCCACTCCCCTGTTGCTAACCCTCCATATGATCTCCATTTCAGTGGGTCCCCTCCTGATCTAGCTGTCCTCTTAGTTTGCTTTTGTTTTAGGTGTGGTTGTTAATAACTGTGAGTTTGCTGTCCTTTCACTATTTATCTTTTTTATCTTCTTTTTCTTAGATAAGTCCCTTTAACATTTTATATAATAAGGGCTTGATGATGATAAACTCCTTGAATTTGACCTTACCTGAGAAGCACTTTATTTGCCCTTCCATTCTAAATGAAAGCTTTGCTGGATAGAGCAATCTTGGATGGAGGTCTTTGGATTTCATGACTTGGAATACTTGTTTCCAGCCCCCTCTTGCCTGTAAGGTCTCTTTTGAGAAATCCACTGACAGTCTGATGGGAACTCCTTTGTAGGTGACTGTCCCCTTAGCTCTTGCTGCTTCTAGGATTCTGTCCTTCATTTTAACCTTGGCTAATGTAATGATGATGTGCCTTGGTGTGTTTCTTCTTGGGTCCAACTTCCTTGGGACTCTCTGAACTTCCTGGATTTCCTGGAAGTCTATTTCCTTTGCCAGATTGGGGAAATTCTCCTTTATTATTTGTTCAAATAAGTGTTCCACTTGTTGCTGTTCCTCTTCCCCTTCTGGTACCCCTATAATTCGGATGTTGGAATGTTTAAAGATGTCCTGGAGGTTCCTAAGCTTCTCCTCATTTTTTTGGATTCTTTTTTCTTCATCCTTTTCTGTTTGGTCATTTTTTTCTTCCTTCTGGTCCACTCCCTTGATTTGAGTCTCAGTTTCCTTTCCATCACTATTGGTTTCCTGTGCATTTCCCTTCATTTCAACTAGCCTTCATATGTTCCTCTAATTTGTGGCTAAAATCAACCAGTTCTGTGAGCATCCTGATCACCAGTGTTTTGAACTGTGCATCTGATAGGTTGGCTATCTCTTGGTCACTTAGAAGTATTGGCTCTGGGGCTTTGAGTTCTTCTTGAGCCTTAATGATTTGGTCTGTTCATGCCTGTTATGTATGAGGGGCAGAGCCCTAGGTGTTCACCAGGGTGGGGCAACTCCATTGCAGTGTTGTGACACTGTATGTGGGGGTGGGGTCAAAGAGGGGCAGTGGCAGTCCCCTCTGTTGCATCCATACTGCTGGGGTCTGCGTGGTCTGACTCACTGCTTGCTCCTTCACCTGGTTTATCTGCTCACGAATGTTTGACCGTGGTCATCCAGCCACTTTGTGCCCTCACTGGGTCTGTCCATTGCAACCCCACGCCTGGGATCTGCCAACCACTACCTACATACCAGGGTCAGTCTGGCCGAGTTTTCCTCTGCAACCCTGGTCCACCAGCCGCTGGCTCTGCCCCTCTTACCTGTCTGGCTGAATGGTTCATGGTTGTCGGACTTCTGTATAGTTCAATTTTCTGTGTTTTGGTTGCGTTGTTTTGTTTGTTTATTTGTTTGTTTGTTTGTTTTTACCAAAACTTTGTTGTCTTTAAACTTGGTTGTGTGAGGAGGCACAGTGTTTCCACCTAGGCCTCTATTTTGGCTGGAAGTCATAAAGTTATTTTTAAATGAATGTTCCTGTTGACCTAGTGATTCCTCTTAAAGGAATGTACAATAAGGTAATAATCAGAAATTTGGTCAGGGGTTTATGTATGAGGATATTCATTAAAGTAGTAACAGAGCCCTGGACCAGTAGTTCAGTTGGTTGGAGTGTCGTCCTGATGCTCCAAGGTTGCAGATTCAATCCCTACTCAAGTGAATAGAAGAATTAACCAGTGAGTACATGGATGGGTGGAGCAACCAGTTGATGTTTCTCTGTGTTTCTCTCTTTCTCATTTCTTCTCTCTCTCAAATCAATCAATAGAAAAAAAATTTAAGTAGTAGCAGAAAAATTGGAAACAAATGTATCTAACATTAAAAGACTTATAAACTTCTATCCTTTAGGCTATTAGGTTGTCAGAAATTCAAAAGCATCAAGAGCCATTGATTGATGAGGCTTTGGAAGCAGGTACTTTCATAAATTGCTGGAGAGACTAACTCTAAGGAGAAAAATTTGGGTATCTTAGCAAAATCACTAATCCATTTACCCTGATACCTTTACCCTGATACCCTGATAGTATTTCCATTTCTGGGAATATATTCTGTTATGATATCTTTACATGTATGAAATTGTTATGTACAAGGTTATTTATCACATGGTGATTTATAATAGCAAAAGATTGGAAACAATAGAGAATAAATTGTGAAATTTATTCAGAGGATTACTAATATAGCTAGAAGAAAGGGAGATACACCTCATGTCTATGCATTCAACATAGCTGCACATGGCTATTTAAATTTGAATTAATTAAAATTAAATAAAATTTAAAGTTCAGTTCTTTTGTTGCACTAGCCCCATTTAAAAGTGCTCAATAGCCACCTGAGTTCCCAATACATATGGAATATTTTCACAAATTATTTTTTCTTAAAATGACTAAGTGCCCCATTTTCTCCTATCAGTTTACCCCTTTCAGATATATCATTATGATGTCAGGTGAATTACATATTACAGAACAATTTCAATTGGTAACTGTGGTTGAAGGCAAACACCGTGTAAAGGATTCTTGATTAGTGAATTAGTTTTTGGCTAGCCTTTACTGTTTTATGCAGGCAGAAAGCTTAAATCAAGCATGCCTGAAGATATAATTTTCCTCACCTATTGATTGAGTGTATGCTCTAAATAACTCTCAATTTGCTAGGTGCCATAGCAAAATGTTACAGCTATAATCACAGCTCTCTGGAATATTCTGAAATTAGGTTGTGATATAAGAAAGATACTTGGTCTTTGAAGCTAAGCAGGGTCGGGCCTGGTTAGTACTTGGATGGGAGAAAGATACTTGGTCTTTGTCTTAGTGCCTGGCACATAGCTTTGAAATCTTTGGAACCTCCTGAATGAGAAGATTATCTTTGGTGTACTAATGAAATGACTCTTGGTTAGGGGCTCCTAGATAGTTTCAGGATGGTACCTGGTTACCAGAAAGACTAAATAAATGTTGATTAGAAACTTAAAACTTTCAGCCCTACATTCCAGCCTCTAGGGAGGAGAGAAGGGTTAGAGATTAAGATAATCACCAGCAGCCCATGATATAATCAATCATACTTATGTAAGGAAACCTCCATAAAAACCTCTAAACAACGGGGTTTTGAAATCTTCCTGGTTGAACACTTAGAGATCCTGGGAGGGTGACACACGTGGGGAGGGCACGCCATAACCCTTTCTACTTATCTTGCCCTATGAATCACTTCCATTTGACTGTTCCTGAGTTCTATCTTTTATTATAAATTGGTAATAGTAATTAAACTGCTTTTCTGAGTTCTCTGAGTTGTTCTACAAATTATCAAATTTGAGGGAGGGGGTTGTATGGACCCCAGGGTCAGTCAGAAGTATGGGTACGCAGGACTTGTATCTTATATCTGAAATGGGGACAGTCTTGTGGGACTGAGCCCTTTATCTTGTGGGATCTGATACTGACTCCAGGTTAATAGTGTCAGAACTGAACTGAATTATTGGACTCCGAGTTGGAGATGTGCTGGAAAAAAACACCATGTATTTGATTTCTGGAGAGGGGAAAAGACCCTTGAGGCAAGACCTGCAAGGCATACCTTTAAATGGCTGTGGGACATAGTATGGTGTTTATTCCAGAGTCTAGCTTATTTTTGTATTGTCTAAGAAAGTATTAGCACTAATTACCACCTTAGTGTGCAGTGTATATTTAAAATGGGGAGTTGTACTATACATTTGAGATACTAATAAGTAATTAATTTTAAACAGCACTACAAAAAATAAGGAATCTCCTTCACTGGGAAATAAAGCTGTGGACTTTGGAGAAAAAGAATCCTCTTTGAATTTATCTTACCAAAGTCATGACTGCTCTGGTGCCTGTCTGATGAAAATGCCACTAACCTTCACAGGAGAAAACCCTCTGCAGCTACCAATTACATGTCACTTCCAAAGACGACATGCAAAGACAAACACTCATTCTTCAGCACTCCACGTGAGTTATAAAACCCCTTGTGGAAGGAGTCTACGAAACATGGAGGAAGTTTTCCGTTACCTGCTTGAGACAGAGTGTAACTTTTTATTTACAGATAACTTTTCTTTCAATACCTATGTTCAGCTGACTCGGAATTACCCAAAGCAAGAAGAAATTGTTTCTGATCTGGATATTAGCAATGGAATGGAATTGGTGCCCATTTCTTTCTGTAATGAAGTTGACAATAGAAAGCTTCCATACTTTAAGTACAGAAAGACTATGTGGCCACGGGCATATTATCTAAGCAGCTTTCCCAACATATTTACTGATTCATGTGACTGCTCTGAGGGATGCATAGACATGTGAGTAGAATATAATGGCATTTCAAAAAAATCTTCTGAATGTAGGAGTACTTGTTAAGTCCTGCTATTTCTCAGTTTGTCTATCTGTTTATCTAAAACTGTTCACTAAGAATCTAAAATGGAAAGATACACTCTCACTAGCAGTGGGAAAGAAAACTTTTCACCAATTATTACAGTAATTTGAAAATTATTTCCTCTAAGGATATTTCTTTTTTAAAATAAAATATGCTAATTAATTAGAGTGAGAAAGAAAGATGTGACAAACATCAATTGGTTGCCCTGACTGGGGATTGAGCCCTCAACCTTTTGGTGTACAGGACGATGAGTATTTCTTTAAGCTAGTATCATAACCATAACAGCAGCAATTATAGTTAATACCATATAACAGTGCCAGACACTGTGACAATTGCTTTATATACATTTTCTTATTTAATTCTCACAAAACTTTATGAGGTAGTAGTATTATTTCCATGTTATACAAGAGGAAACTGAGATCTAACAAACTAATTGTAAGATCATAGGGCAAACAATTTGAACCCATGCTCTTAGTTACTGTGTTATATGTTGTGGTTTACTTCTACATATCATTTCCTTGCCATTTGTAGAAAGTTAACAGTGCTTATAATTAGTAATCTCTTGATCCTAACATTGACATTCCATAAAAAATGAAAACATGTTCTATATATTAGGACTTTCAAATCATTTTAAGGGTATGTAGTGTACATGTGTTCGTAGGTATGCATATATAGAATGGAGTTGCATTATATGTACATTTAATTTTATGTAAATTTAGCTTCCAGTAGTAGGCAAAAGAATGAGAGAGATAAAAATAAGGGTAGTAGTTTCCACCACCCTGTTAGTTAGAGTGTGAGATGAGATATATAAATCTGTTGTTAGGTCCTTTTGGTTCAATTCCTTTACCCTGTCATAGAGGAAATCTGTTGCTGGCCAAGTTTAATTCTTTTTAAAAGCAAGTTTTGGGGTTTTTTTTAAGCATTGCCTCTAAGTATAACCCACCTGTATCTGGCCAACCTCAATCTCTTTCAGTAGTGGAAAAAAAAATTACTGGACCAGGCCAGTGTGGCTCAGTTGGTTGGGCATCAATCCATAAACTGAAAAAAATGACTGTTGAACAGTGTTTACTCTGGTCAGTTCAAGAGACTTAAAAAAAATAATTTGTATATAATTTTAGAACACACAGGTGTAAACCCCACAGAAGTATGATGTCAGACTGTCACAGCACACAAAGGCAACAGTTAAGACCCCAAAAGCACCTTGAATCCCCCCAAATGGGAGAATTCACACCTGAAGAATCAGACATAAATGTAGAATCTGATTGAAAGGTACTTTACAATAGGTATATTTAAAATGTCCAAAGAGCTAAAATATTAGCATCCATAAAACAATAAAAGGAAATTATTTTTATAAATGGGTATATATGTATGTATGTGCGTGTGTATATATATACACATATGTATATACGAAAAAGAACCATTTGGAAATATAGGAAATAAAACATATGGTCATTGAAATAAATGAAATAGATGCACTAAATGTTAGCATTGGCATAGTTAGAGAAAGAATTAATGCATTGGATGGCTGCTAGGGTCCAGCCTCGGCAGGGTTCAGGGTCCCCAAAGGATGGACAGCGCAGGCAACAAATGATGAGTCAGATACCCAATTGGATGCCGGAGAACAGCCAGCCTCTGTGGGTCTGACTGAACTCATAGAATTTGATTTAGGCTTTATTTTTATAGAGATTGTTGTATAACATTAAAGAAACCAGGTGTATTGCGTGATCAGTTAAGCAGAAAAAAACCAATACAGAGGTAACCAGGAAAAGTACAAGACTTTCCATAGTTTCGATTATGTTAAACAAAAGTCGTTTTGACCAGGAGAACCATTAATCAGACAATTTGAAATAGCTCTATGTACAGAGTTTGAATGTCTTATTGTTTACTAAAGGTCTTAGAATTTGACATGGGGCAAAAGGTATGCTAGACCGAGCAAAGGTTAGGAAATTTATTATAAGGCCTCTGTGATGTGTAACTTAGCTATCTATCTTTTTGTCTAAAATGTTTCTTTATGTAATATGGACTGTAACTTCTTGGTAATTGTTTCTGTGTGTTTAGTTTGTAGTAGCTAACCAGCTTCTCCTGCTTCTTTGCCTGTCAAATTCTAATTAATATATATTCCTGTCAAAGGTAGAGGAGGGGCTGTTACTCCATCAACTTTTAGATATTCAGGGGCTACTTCATTAGGGGGGAACTTTGTTCTCTGGCAAAGAAATTATTTTGTACAACTTCATTGGAATTATGCAGATCATTGGACCTGAAATGCAGGTGTCTAAAAATCCCACCACCTATTAATCTCAACAACAAACATGCATGGGAGAGATAGACAGGAAATCCAGCCACAGTTGCCTCTGCTGTGCAGATGCATCTCGTCCATCCCAACTGTGTCAGGGGACGGCTGTTGGTCAGCTCCTGACAGATGGCAAAATCTAAGATCTCTCAGAATACAAATAGATAAAGATATGGGTAAAATAACTTACAGGTTAAAAAATATGGAAAAGTAGTTGTAGCATACACATGCTAAAAAAAAAAAAAGAGCACCATTCAAAGATAATAGCTGAGCCCTGGCCTACGTGGCTTAGCTGGTTGGAGTGTCGTCCCATACACCAAAAGATTATAGGTTTGATTCCTGGTCAGGGCACATACAGGAGGCAACTAGTTGATGTTTCTTTCTCACATCTATATTTCTATCTCTCCCTCTCTCCCTCTGTCTGTCTCTACCTCCTGATACCCCCTTGTTCTCTCTATAAAAGCCATGAAAAAGTGTCCTTGGAAGAGGTTGGAAAAAAATAATAGCTGAGAATTTTACAGAGTTGAAGAAAGATGGGAATCCTCTGAGTGAAAGAGCCTGCTAAGTACTAAAAAGGGAAAATAAGATAAATCTAAATGTATTGGTGCAACTTTAAAAGTATGTAGGGTAAAGAGTAAATTTTAAACACTCAAAAAAGAGGAAAAAGAGATGGACAGCACACTTTTCATCAGAAAGGATACAACAAAAAAAGAGATACATTAGCTTAAAATCTTGAAGGAAAACAAATTAAAACTAGAATTTTATACCAAGCCCATCAGTTGTTTAACAGGGAGAGTGGGGTGTTCAGTTACACAGCAATAGAAAAGGTGCATACCTACTTTCCAGCAATAGTACTTTAAGTATATTTAGAACATTACATTCCCAGCCACAGGTTTAGTTGATGTAAAATCACTTAAGGGGTTATAAGTAGCATTTAAAAAATTAAATAATAAAAAAAGGACCCAAGTGCATCGCAAATGATAAAAATAAAGTTGCATGCCACTATTGTTTCAGTTTGTACACGTATAAATATGTATGCTTGTATATATCCTGAAAAATACGTATTTTCTACTGTGGGTCATAGTAAAAAATATTTGAAAGCTACACTCTAGAGATGTTTACACATCTGCATAAGAATAGGGTGTTCATTTCAGCATTTGTTATATTGAAAACTTGAAGCAACTTAATTAAGCAACATAATTGTATATCTAAATGCTGTGGAAAAGTTTTTTAAAGGAATTAACTATATTTGAATATAACATGGATTGGGTCTCAAGAACAACACTGAAAGAAAAAGCAAGTTTTAAAGCAATAACTAGAGTAAATTTTTAAAAAATTATTATATAAACAATTTACGAGGACTGTCTGAAAAATATTCTTATAATATTAAAAATACATTTATTGAAGAATATACAAGATACAAAAAACATTGTACAAGGGACAGTGATGCTTTAATCCCCTTCTAAGCAGGGACCTCAAGACCTCTCAGTTGTCCTAGTCACCATCAGCTACCCTGTCATATTTTCCTGAATTTCACTGGTGGTCTCTCCCCTTTCAAAGGTCATTTTAGTTTTGGGAAAAGCCAGAATTCGCAGGGTGCCAAATCGGGGCTATAGGGTGGCTGAGTCATGTGGGTGATTTGGTGTTTCACCAAAAAACTCTTCACAAGACATGATGCATGAGCAGGCACATTGTCATGATGAAGCTGCCAATCACCAATTGCCCATAGCTGCATCTGTTTTCATTGTATTGCACATTGAGGTAGTATTCCCTATTAATTGTTTGGCCTGGTGGGGCATACTCATGATGGACAACACCCACCCAATCAAAAAACACAGTTAACGTGGTTTTGATCTTTCTGGGACTTTGCTGTGCCATCTTTGGGCATGGAGAACCAGGTAACTCCTGTTGGGACTACTGGGCCTTCGTTTCTAGATCATAGTCATAGACCCAGAATTCACCTCTGATTGTGACCTTAAGGAATCTGGTTCATTGGTAGTAGTTTGAATGAAGTGATTAGCAATTGCAGTATGATGTTCTTTTGCTCTGGTAGCAGAAGTTGTGGAATGAATTTTGCCACAACACAATTCATACAAGATCCTTCATCAAAATCTCAGGCACAGTAGTTTTTAGAATCCCCAGATCAGCTTCTAGTTTTCATACTGTCAGTTGCCAATCTTTGTTGATTGCAGCCTATAAACATTCAACATTCTCAAGGTGTTCTGCTTGTTGCAGGCCTTACAGAACATGGATCACTTTCAACAGATTCTCAACCATCTTTGAAACCTTTGTGCCACACTTTTAGTTGCGCTGCACTCATTGCATCATACCTGAAAGTTTTCTGAGTCATCCAAATAGTTTCTGAGGGGAATGTTCAAGCTTAATGCAAATGCAGATTTGTTCCTCTACTTGCTCAGTCATTTTGAATGCAACAGCCACATAGTACACATTTGCACTCAATGGCTTCTAATGCCTACACCGACAGTACAATGAAGTCATCATTGTTCATGCACGTGCATTCCAGTCCATTCTCTTTAGATGCCAAGTCATAGTAATGTCGCATGAACAGTTCTCATTATATTAACAATGGCTGGACTTTTTCCAGACAGACCTTGGATATATTTTAAATAATACAGAAAAAAGAAGGACTAGGTAAAATGATAACAGTTAATTCTATGCAGTAGGAATATGAGTGCTTATTATATTATTATTTTTATTTTTCTGTACTTTTAAACCTTGTAAGCAAAGTCATATCAAAAATCAACTTTACAGCCCTGGCTGGTGTAGCTCAGTGGGTTGAGCACAGGCCTGCAAACCAAACAATCACGGTTTGATTCCCAGGCAGGGCACATGCCTGGGTTGCAGGCCAGTTCCCAGCAGGGGACGTATGAGAGGCAACCACACATTGATATTTCTCTCCCTCTCTCCTTCCCTTCCCCTCTAAAGATAAATAAATAAAATCTTTTTAAAAAATCAACTTTACATTTCCTGCACTGTAATAGATTCCAGATTGAAATTTTTATTGTTTTTTCTGTTGTAAACAGTAGGCACCACTCTTATGCATGTATTATGTATATACAGAAAAATACAGAAGCGAATCATCAAGAAAAAGACCTCAAAGTAACTTGTTGAACAAAGGAGATAGATCCAGAGATTTTAACCAGCTCATCAGTAGTTACGTATCCAATGTACAGATGAGATACCCAGGTTCCTTACTCCCTCTTAAGGTATAAGTTTCTCTCAAGTTAATCATTTAAAAAGAGGGGAAAATTATGGTTGTATGTTTTTTGTTGAAGAACATTATAAAAAAATAAATTTAGTAACCAGATATCCAGTGTCAACTTACCCAGTCTGCTTTTGTGTCATTGGAAAGAAAGATAATTTAAGACATCTACAAACCTATGGTACACCTTTTCAAGTTTGATACATATCAGTTTGTCCATTGTAGGAGGAGAGTGGACCTAGGAGAACAAACAGGCTTCTGCTGAAAAGGAAATTAAAGGAGTTCATTTTGAAAAGTTAAAGAAAACTCATATGGTTAAGTATTTATTTCATGAACAAATAAAGGTAGAGGGCAGTTTATAAGTATTTATAGAATTTTGGTAAATAATCTCTTTCAAGGAGGTCTATCTAGGGAAGAAGTTCAACATTCATGAGGCAATCCTGAATACAATTAATTCTTTTACTATATCTTTTACACTTTAATCAGGTCTCTTTAGTTGATGCTTTTTTTATTCTCACTTCTCCCTTCATTGCCTTTCTTTGTAGAACAAAATGTGCTTGTCTTCAAATGACAGCCAGGAATGCTGAAATTTGCCCCTTGTCAAGAGATAAAATAACCATTGGATATAAATATAAAAGACTACAGAGACACATACCAACTGGGTAAGATACCTTGAGGATTGTTACAGGGTGTTTGTATCTTCGAAGGTTGGTTCTTTATTATTGTACCTGTAGTCTTACAGATATTAAATCTTAATTTTTTATATCAAAAACCTAAATTAAGGAATTAAAAAAATAACAAACCTGTATATTGGTTTTGGAAATGGAGTGAGAGACCACATATGTATCATGCAGAATGTACATGAACCAAACACTCATGTGCTTTTGGTCTGGCTTTTACCCTCTAGACTTAGCCTTCTTTGGGAAGCTGTTCCCCCTTAAGAAATATCCTGTGCTAAGCTCTTCTAAGAACTGGGAATTTTCAGACTTTCAAGGTTGTTATTAAAAAATAAACAAACAACCCTGGCTTATGTGGCTCAGTTGGATTGAGTGCTGGCCTACAAACCAAAGGGTCTCTGGTTTGATTCCCAGTCAGGGCACATGCCTGGGTTGCAAGCTAGGTTCCTTAGGGAGTATGTGAGAGGCAACCACGCATTGATGTTTCTTTCCCTCTCTTTTTCTGTCCCTTCCCCTCTGTCTAGAAATAAATAAAATCTTTAAAATATATAGATAGATAAAAAAATAAAAAATAAACAGAACATTTTTCCTTCTTGACATTCCTTTCCCAGACATTTTCTTCTTAGACATTCTGGATTTTTAAAGAGCTAATATTTACTATGTGCCAGGTATTGTCCTAAGCACCTTGTAAATGCTGACTCATTTAAATTTCACGAAACAATCCTATGATACTTTATATATAAATATAAAATCCAGAGCTTCTGGTCAAGATTGTGATGTAGGCAGACATGGCTCACCTCTTTGTACAACCACATTAAAATTACAACTAAAACACAGAACAACCATCACTCAGAACTGTCAGAAATTGAGTTGATCAGAAGTATGACAACTTCGGAATTAAAGAAACCACACATCCAAACTGGTAGGAGGGGCTCAGATGCGGAATGCGCTGGTCTCTCACCCATGTGTGATGGATAAAAATTTGGGAAGGATATCTCAGGAGTGAGCAGGCCCACCTCCATACCAGGCCTGCCAGTACAGGGTTCCAGTGCAAGGGAGATAAGTCCCCATAACTTATGGCTGCAAAAACCAGCATGGATTGAGTCAGTGGAAGTAACTGCTGGAACCATAACCAGTTCCTCTTAAAAAACTCACACACAGATTCACCTACTCAGACTCTCCCTCTGAGCTCCAGCACAGGGGTGGCAGCTTGAAGGGCCCCAGTGGCATACTGGGAGAGGCTGAAGTACCTGGCATCAGGGCCAGCAGAGGACATTGTCCCTTTTCTGAGCCCTTCCTCCACAGAGCCATGGTGCTGGCAGGGTGGAGCCATATTTGACTCCATCAACCTGGCTAACACTGTTTGACTCATCTTGGAGATCCCCAGAGACTCCTCCCCATCCCATCCATACTGCTTTTACACATGAATGGCTTCTTCACAACTTCCTAAATCCTATCAAACAAGCAATAGCTGGCCTTAGTGAGCTCTAGGCAGGGCACTAGCAACAGCCAGTTTAGCTTCACAGGTTGGCTTTGCCTGGGAATCTCCCAGCCCAGCACAACTAGCAGCCTTCTTAGGTTGCTTTATAGCTCAGGAAGGGTTGCCAGGCAAAGCATAGGTGAGGACTGACCTTGGCCAGCACCATCTTGGAAACCCCAGGACCAGTGCACCCAGTGGACAGCTACAGATCACTTCAGAGGGCCATCACTCTGCTTCTGCACAGCTGATCCTCCACAGAGGGCAGGAATTGGAACTAATTGGTCACAGCAAATCCTTGCCTGGGTGAATTCCTGCCATTGATCTGCCAGCAACAGCTAAGGCTCAACTACAAGAATGTGTGCTAAGCCCACACTAAGGGCGCACCTCTCATACCCAGCTTGGGTAAATGGGGAGGCTGTGCCACTGGACCCTATAAGACACCTACTACTTAGGGTACACTAGCAAGACATGGAGTCAAAGCAGCTCTACCTAATACATAGAAACAAACACAGGGAGGCTGCCAAAACAAGGAGATAAACATGGCCCAAATGAAAAAACAAATCAAAACTCCAGAAAAAGAGCTGAAAGAAGTGGAGATAAGCAATCTATCAGGTGTGGAGTTCAAAACATTGGTTATGACGATGCTCAAGGAACTTAGGACCTGAGCATCATAAAAAGATCCAGTCAAAATCAAAGAATTCACTAAACAAAAGAACAATTTACAGGGAAACTATAGAGTGGATGAAGCTAAGAGTCAAATCAATGATTTGAAATATAAGGAAGCAAAAAAACAACCAATCAGAACAAGAAGAAAAAAAGAATTTTAAAAAATGAGGATAGTATAAGCAGCCTCTGGGACAACTTCAAGAGGTCCCACATTCGCTTTATGGATGCTGGAAGTAGAAGAGAAAGAGCAAGAAATTGGAAATCTGTTTGGAAAAAATGATGAAACTTACCTAACTTGGCAAAGGCAATAGACATGCAAGTCCAGGAAGCATAAAGAGTCCTAATCAAGTTGGATCCAAAGAGGACCACACCAAGAAACGTCATAAAGAAAAGGGTTAAAAATAAAGAGAAACTCTTATAAACAACACTAGAAACGCAGAGAATTACCTACAAAGGAGTTTTCATAAGTCTGTCAGCTGATTTCTCAAAAGAAACTTGGCAGACAAGAAGTCCTGGCAACAAATATTCACAGTGATGGAAAGCAAGGGCCTATACCAAGATGACTCTATACAGCAAAGCTACCATTTAGAATGGGAGGGCAGATAAAGTGCTTCCCAGACAAGGTAAAGCTAAAGGAATCCATCACCACCAAGCCATTATTACATGAAATGTTAAGGGGACTTATTTAAGGAAAAGAATATTAGAAGTATGAACATTAAAATGACAACAAATTCACAACTATCAACAACTGAATCTAAAAAGTAAACTAAGCAAACAACTAGAACGGGAACAGAATCATAGGTATGGGAATTATTTGGAGGGTTATCAGCTGGCAGGGGGAAGGGGAAGATGGGGGAAATGGTACAGGGATAAAGAAGCATAATTGATAGGAAAAAATAGGCAGGAGGATGTTAAGAATAGTATAGGAAAGGGAGAAGCCAAAGAACTTGCATGCACGACCTATGGACATGAACTAAGGTGGGGGGTATTGCTGGGGGGAAGGGGGTTACTGGGTGGAATTAGGCAAAGGGAAAATAATTGGGACAACTTAATAGCATAATCAATAAAATATACTTAACAATAAAATCCTCATTTTAAAAATGGAAAATTGAAGCACAGAGGTTAAATAACTCATCCAAGATAACATAGCTAGTTAATGCTGGAGTTGTGATGGGAACCCCAGGCAGTCTAGCTCTAAAATCCTTCCTTCTCACTTAGTCTGCAATTATTAGTGACTAGCATTATTAACTTCTTTTGGTTTTAATTTACACTGCCTGATTTTCTCTTGTATATTTATTGACAGCATTTATGAATGCAGCCTGTTGTGTAAGTGTAATCGGCGAATGTGTCAAAATCGAGTTGTTCAGCATGGACCTCAAGTGCGGCTACAGGTGTTCAAAACTGAGAAGAAGGGATGGGGAGTACGCTGCCTAGATGACATCGACAGAGGGACATTTGTTTGCACTTACTCAGGTAAAGCAAGGGTTTATTTTCAAATGATTGTATCTGCATCTCTGAATTTCCATTTTACCAGTCTAGGCCATTGAGTTCTTATAGCAAGGACAAGAGCAACAATATATAGGAGGAGTATACAGAGGAAGGAAAGTGACTGGGAACTTGGATACTGAAGGAATGAGATGCCTTAGGAAGTGACATTCTAGAAAATAAAGGCTCAGAAATAAAATTTGGGTTATTGTGTGAGGCATCTTTTTTGTCTTCACGGCTAAAAATGCTTTGGTGTAAGATAAGAAAACATTTTAAATATGAAAACTAAATTACTGAATTATCAATTTAGGACAACCTTATTCAATGTTTTGAGCTATTAAAATTTAATAAGGTACCCTGACCAGTGTAGCTCAGTTGGTTGGGTGACATCCTCCAAAGCAAAGTGTCACCAGTTTAGTTCCTGGTCATGGCACATGTCTTTCAGCCAGTCCCCAGTTGGTATACATGCAAGAGGCATCCCATTGATGTTTCTGTCACACATCGATGTTTTTCTCCTCTCTTTCTCCCTCCCCTCTCCTCTCTGTAACATTAAATAAATAAAATCTTTTTCAAAATGGATTTAATAAGGTAATTTTGTAATAAATGCATGCATGTGATGATTCAGGCAATGACTTTAGGCAGCACACTTCATTTCAGATCCTCAAGAGTTCCCACATTCTGAGCAAAACCTTGCAACCATTGTGTTACAGTTGTAGTTATTGATTCTTTAGGACCACAGCCCCAAGGCCATACATGTCAGCCTCCAGCAGTCTTAACCATTTAACCTCAGAGTGTTAGACAGAGTTCCTTATTCTCTTAGGAAATGAGGGTTGAGAAAGCATGGCTCTATTAGAGCCAGTCTAAAGGTGCTGGTCTGAGTCTTTGAACTAGGCAGCAGGGACCAGAGCAACCCTCCTCATTTGAATTTCCAGGTTCACTTCATTGAGGGCAAGGATTATCAGAATTCAGAATAGTCCCACTTGGATCCCTGCCACATACCACTTACAGGCACACAACTTGCCTAGATTGTCATCTCTTACATTTTTCAAAATAACTCTTTGATGAAAATCAGCTGCCTATAAAATGCCAAATATATGCAAGGAAGTATTGCCTTTATCTGCACTGCATATCTAGCAAAATGCAACTAAGGTATTTGATCTAGCTGCTAACTTTGGTTTGTTAACTGTAATTTTGTGTCCCTTGGGGAGAAAAATGCATAAACTTTAGACAGATTTTAATGTTACACTGGGACTTAACATGAAAATAATAGACACATAGATAGCATCACTGATTTAAATGCCACTTTATAAAACCAGTATTGATTTTAAGTGATAAAGCGTTTTTATCTAGACACAAAATCTTCAATGCTAATTCATCTTGCTAATTTTCTGGAATGCTTTCTGATCTATGTTTTTGTTTTATATTGTAACTAAATCTCTCTTCTTTCATGTTATACCAGAATAGACAAGTGCTTTTTTTAAAATGTCCTTTACTTTTTTATGTACTGGAAGACATGAAATTTGTTACTGGTCTTTTATTATTCCTTGCAGTAGTTCTGTAGGATGTTAATGTGTTTATCTTCATTCTATAAATAAGGTACACCTCACTGAGTTCTTTAGTTATGGAGCAGAATAGAGATACCATTTTGTTGCTTAGCAATTACTACATTTTTTTTTGTCTTTCTGAGCTCTTTTACTTTCTCTTAGGAAGATTATTAAGCAGATCTAACACTGAGAAACCTGATGCTATTGGTGAAAATAGAAAAGAAGAAAATACTATGAAAAATGTGCTTTCAAAAAGGAGGAAAATGGAAGTTGCAGATTGTGAGGTTGAAGTTATCCCATTAGAATTGGATAAAAGTGCTAAAACTGAAGAGTGTCCAGCTAAGTTTAAAAATAATCCAAAAAAGCCTATTATGTAAGTAAGATCTTAGGAACCCAATCAAAAACTAATCTATAATATTGATCAAGAGTGGTTGGTTGTCCGTCCTTCCTTCCTCCCTTTTTCCCTCCCTCCCTCCCTTCCTTATTTCCTTCCTTTTTTTCTTTCTTTCCTCACACTCCTATATACTTTATATATATAAACTTGCTTCACAGTTGTAAGTTTAACACTGAAAAATCTAGGACACTTAGATTTAAAAATCTAGGCAACATACTTTATTTCCTCAGTGTTCCACCATTTCAGGAGTTTTACCTTTAAAAACTTTATGATTTTAATCAGGTTCTTACGGATGTCATACTTTGCAGTTTTATTTTCTCTCATTCTATTTCCAACACTTTTCATAGATTTTCCTTTTTTTTATTTTTTTAAAATTTTTTATTGATTATGCTGTTACAGTTGTTCTATTCCCCCCTTCATTCCCCTCCACCCTACCCCCCATCCCCACCATTACCCCCCCCTTTAGTTTATGACCATGTGTCTCAATTCCTTTAGATTCTATACTTCCAATGCTATTCTTGCCCCCCCATCTATTTTCTATCTACTGTCTATGCTACTTATTTTCTGTACCTTCTCCCCCCTTCTCCTCCTCCCACTCCCCTGTTGCTAACCCTCCTTGAGATCTTCATTTCTATGTTTCCACTCCTGATCTAGCTGTCCTTTTAGTTTGCTTTTGTTTTAGGTGTGGTTGTTAATAACTGTGAGTTTGTTGTCCTTTCACTGTTCATGTTTCTTTAACTTCTTTTTCTTAGATAAGTCCCTTTAACATTTCACATAATAAGGGCTTGGTGATGATGAACTCCTTGAATTTGATCTTATCTGAGAAGCACTTTATCTGTCCTTCCATTCTAAATGAAAGTTTTGCTGGATTAGATTTTCCTTTTTGAATATATTTAAAAATATGATTGACTTTAAAATATGATCATATTCTTTTTTCTGGTAAGGGTCAGACATAGATATTATTATTTAGATTAATTTCTAATGGATCTTTCCATAACATTTATATTATCTGTATTTCAAGGTCTAGTAAAGAAAATAACTTTGATTTTCTTTTCAGAGATATGAAATGTAACAATATTTCAAGAATTCGATATCATTCAGCCATTACAACTCTGAAGACCAAGATAGCTATTATTCAACCTGATGGGAGAAAAATGGTAAAAACTGCAAAATATAGATGGGGTCCTTCTGAGAACACTATTATCTCACCTTTCTAACTTAATCTCACCTAACTATATTACTTAGTTCAAATTGTTTGTGATACCTATTAATGTATAGGATTTTTTTTTTTTTTACTGTTTTGGAATGGGTGTACTGTTGAAGTGTTAATGGTCATGGTTTATTAGTATCTTCCATGGTGCTTAGCATGTTCCAAAATTTAGACTTTTAAGGAGAATGTTGGTCATGATCTAATAGTGTATTCCACTGAGACTGAGAGCTAGCTATTCATTTGAGAATTTATAGATGCTAAAGTGTTTGAGTTGATAATAATAAGAAAAATAGTAAGAAAGAGGATGGAGTAATTTAGGTTGTGGGGTACATGAAAAAGAGGAGATGCAACCTAATGAAATGTCATCCAGAAAGCAACATTTTACATGATAACCTCTGGAGATACATTTTTCAATCTGAACTGAGGATGACTAGTCAGAGACTATAACCTAGAAGCAGAGAAAGATGCAGGAAAAAGAAGAGAAGTAAATGTAATGGTAGTTCACATTAGGGCTTTGATGAAAAATAAAAACTTTTTCCTGGGTGTTGGACAAATTTCACCCTCTGCCTACTAACATGGATCAGGAACCTCCTTAGTATCACATAATTATGAAGAGGTTGGGTCATAGTATCACACAGACATAGATTTGACTTTCAGTTATGCTGCTTACTAGCTGGGTGACCTCCTTCCCTACATTTCTTTATCTGATAAATGAGGGTAATATCTAAGTCAGTTAAGAGGATTAAATGAGATAAATATCAGAAATCCTTTATATGGAGCTTGACACCCAGGAAGTGCTTAATAAATGTTGGCTATTTAAGTACTTGAATAACAATAATGTCAGTGTTTTCTGAGCATTTAGTTTAGTGCTATGCATTGTGCTAAGCAGATAACTCCTTTGTTTTATGTTTATTTTTATTTTTACTTTATTTTATTTATTTTTTAATTGGTGTTCAAGTACAGTTTTCTGCCTTTTCCCCCAGCAGATAACTCTTTTGAAGAGTTATTGTCATTTTAAGTGACTGCAGTGTCTACACTGCATAAACTTTTTACCCTGGCTGCTGTGGCTCAGTGGATTGAATACCAGCAACAAAACAGAAGGTTGCCTGTTCAATTTCCCTGGCCAGAGCACAAGTCTGGAGCAGACCAGGTCCCTAGACAGGGTGTGTGAGGGACAAGTGATCTGTGTTTCTTCCTCCCTAGTCCTCTTTCTAAAAATAAAAAAATAAAATCTTTAAAAAAATGGCAACTTCTTTAACCTTTTTTTTTTTTGGAAGTAGAAACTAGCCACAGTATTTTTATCTTTGTACACCTTATACTTGAAGCCAAATTCATAGTCTGGTATCAGAATTGAGGGATACAGATGTATTTGAATTTTATTTTAAATTTTAATGCTTAAAGAATGTCTTGAATGTTTTTAAAGTCTTTATACCTATAGTTTACTAACATGCCTACAAGCAGAACACAGCCAAAAGGGCTCCTTCATTCCTAAGTTTCCTTCTGATATCAGCTTTGAGGCTTTCAAAATTAATGCAGTGGCTATAGCCCATGAAGACTGACACTTGATGAAAAAGAACTGCTGAATTAAATTTTTTTTCCTGACCTAAAAAGTAACATTTTCCTTGTTTTCTTTTAAGGGATTTGCTTCCTCAGAATCTATCACTTCTGAAGGTAATGATGAATTTAAATCAACTCAAATACATTTGACCACTAAAGCTAACGATATAAAAAGTAGGTTTTATTTAACTTTGTGCCTACCTCTTCTGCCTTTTTGTCTGTCTTGCTCAATATCTGTGGTTTATTTTCTCAGACCCCAAAACAAACATGCTGTATCCATCACAAAAGCTACTACTTGTCTAAATCACACATTGGTAAGCTACATAGAGTTTGTGGGCCAGTGTATGACCCACCCATCAGCTAAGATGATTTTTTTACCTTTCTAAATAACTGATAAAAAGATGAATAATATTTGATGGCACTTGAAAATTACATGAAATTATAATTTGTGTCTATAAATAAAGTTTTATTGAAACAGCCACACTCATTCATTTACATATTGTCTCTACTTTAACGCTATAGCAGCAGAACTAAATAATCATGACAGAGACCATATGGCCCAAAACAAGCCTAAAATATTTGCTGTTTAGCCCCTAATACAAGTTTGTTGACCCCTCTTCTAGATTCCACTAGTGATCTATATGGCAGGAAGGAATAGGGTGGACAAACTCTTAGCCTACATTATCCATGATGTTATCTGTGGCTGTGAAAGCATTTCAAAGCAGCCATTTCCTCACTCTTTGGGGCCCCTTTGAAAATGAAAACACAGCATTCTCCTGCAATTTTTCAGCCTAAACTATTGCTGGGGATGCTCAGCAAAAAGTGAAAATATTGCTACCCTGAGTGTTACCAGCTTTGCTGTAATTAATATTATGACGTGACAAGCCTGTGTTTTGGTACTTTTGCATTTCAATATCCCTTAGTGGGGAGACATTACTGAGAGATGATCCTTTTTGAAGAACTGATCAACCATTTGTTCTTCTCCCTTTGAGATTCTTTATATCTGCACTCCCAATTCCCTACCTGGTCTTAGAGGATGGAGATTGGAGGAAGCTCCTTGTGTTGATGGAAGAGACCTGGTTCTTCTTGCTAACACATACAAAGAATTACAGATCACCAAATCTATTAGCATGTAATCAGTTTATTCGTGACCCATTCCCATGGAAAAGAATGGGACTGGGTAGAGTAGGAAGTGAAAGGCAAAGTTTCAGGGCAGAGCAGGGTGGCAAAAGTAAGAATAAGAATGGCTGAAGACCAGGGTGGCAAGCTCTCAGGCAGCCTGAGGCTAAATGGCCAAAGGCCCAGTGGCTTGGGAGCCAAGAGCGCCAAGAGCTCCAAGAATGCCTGGAGCTCCCATGAGGGATAGAGCGAGTCCTTTGTTCTGAGGACTTACATAGCTGGTCAGATAGGAGAAAAAAAGTTACATATTGATTAACGGGTAAATGTGGTGCCAGCTTTCCTGGGGATGTGACTACCCAAACTTAGGTATGTGTGGGGGTCTGTTATCCTGAATCCTTATTTTGCTCCAGACTCCATTTGTTCATCTTGTTGATGAACAAATGCGTGATAGGAGGCAGTTACAGTTGACCCTCAACATATCACAGCTCACTTATTGCGGCTTCACTGTATTGTGGGCTAACTTGCAATATAGTGAGGGACAACTGTATATTTCACTGGTGAGTACCCATATAGAATTTTATATGTTGTTAAAATTATGTAGGTTTAAGAGTGTAGGCAGTGTTTAAGAGCACATGAAGTGTTTATAAGAGTGTGGGAAAGGTTAGTAAGAGAGTGGGAAAGGTTTATGGGAGTATGGGAGGGGTTTGTAAAGCCTTAAAATATATATAAATAATAGAATAAATATAACATGCTGCTGCTTCTCAGATTTTCACCTATCGTGGGGGTCTCTGGAACGTAACTCCTGAGTTAGGTGAGGGATCATTGTAATTAAAATTGAGGCACTTTCCAAAGTTATTTATGGGCTCTTTCTGTAAGCATCGGGGACTCCCTCATAAAACAGTAACCAGAGGTAGACAGTTAACCAAAGTTGTTTCATGGGCTCCTTCTTTGGGCACCATGGACCCTCCTCTCCCACATTCGAGGCCTTGGGATGAAAGCACAGTTTCAAGGCTTTCTTTCCCAGATAGTAGAAATTCTACATAGAATTTCAAGGACTTCCCTTCTTTGCTAACATAGTGTTTCTTGTGATGTTGGAACACCTGGTATATTATCAGACCAGGCTCAGGACTGCTGAGTTAGCCTGTGAGACCTGTCTCCTTCCTCCTTCCTGCCTTGGTTTACTATTTATTCTACCTAATTGGTAAAAGGCATTTCCTGGCAACCAGGATGCTAGATGCTGGCCAGTTACAGTATTGCAGTCTCAGAGTTCTTCCTGTGCTGTCTCCTGCCTCACTTGACTGAAAAGGTCTATCCAGAAAAAGCATTCATGTATTAATTATAATTAATTGACCATTGTAGGGGAGAAAAGAATCTCTTCCTTTACCCGTCTTAGGTTGTTGGGCTGAGGCCCTGTAAATTAGGCTGACAAAACAAACAGAAGTTTATTACTATGTATTACCATTACCATATGTGTTATGCATGTAAACTTAGGAGTACAGTAGTCCCCCTTATCTACTGTTTCACATTTCAGTTCACAAGTTTTAAATTGTGTGCCCTCCTGAGTAGCATTATGAAATCTTATACTGTCCCACTCCATGTCACCCAGGACATGAATCATTCCTTTATCCATGGGTAAAGTATCCATCATAAAGTATGATGGATACAGTATCTGTCATAAAGTATGACGGATACAGTATCCGTCATAAAATATGATGGATACTGTATCCATCATACAGTATCCATGCTGTATATGATACTTGGTCATTAGTCACTTAGTAGCCATCTCACTGATCAGAATAATTGTTGTATTGGAGTGAATATGTACAAGTAACCCATGTAGTAGCCTAACATTACATCACAGTGCCCACCTCATTTACCTTCTCTCATTATGTAGGTATTATATCATCATAAGAAGAAAAGGGAGTATATTACAATAAGATATTTTGTGAGAGAACACATTTATGTAACTTTTATTGCAGTAAATTGTTGGAATTGTACGATTTTATTATTAGTTCTTGCTAATCTCTTACTGTGCCCAACTTATAAATTAAACTTTATCATAGCTATGTATGTATAGGAAAAAACAGTATTTATGGGGTTCAGTATAATCCTCAGTTCCAGCCATCTACTAGGGGTCTTGGAATGTATCTCCTACAGATAAGGGGGGACTGCTATACTAAGATGAATAATTCAGATTGGTGGCTTAGAATTCCAGTTTATCTAGAATCTTAGCCAAAATACAATAAATTTTTAGAGGTGTGACAAGACAAAAGAAAAGGACCTTTTAGTCTTTAGGGGGAGCAAATTGTGGGAAGGGAAATATATGGGAACTAATGGTAGATATAGGCTAATTAGTAAAGTTTGTTGTGTAGATTTCTCTGGTTCAGTCTCCAGGGCGATAGTATCTAGAGTTCTCTGGTGATTAACTTTGGTCCTTCCTGGTAGGGGAAGGGACACTTTTGTAAACTTATATCCTGCTTTTAAGCAGATGGGGGAGGCACAAAGCTTTTCTGGCATATGCTACTTAAATAATTCTTAAGTAAAAGAGGCATATTTGGGGCTGATATATTCTGATTTCCTTCACCATTTCAATGCATGTAAACTGTAATGAGTACTATTGCTTTTGGTTCTTTTGCCAGTCTCATTGACTACTGCAGTGTATATAAAAGGCACTAAAAAATTCATTATGTACTTTTAGTGCACACAAGTCATCTATGATTAAAGTATGAGTACTTGTAAGAACAGCAGCTTGTAATAGTAATGTTTAAATCAAGAACAGTGATTTTAGAGAAGTATAATTTCTTTATACTACTGAGGTGGCACAAAACTTTATAAAAATAAATGATTTGGGGCCTGTCTGGTGTAGCTCAGTGGATTGAGTGCAGGCCTGCAAACCAAAGGATTGCGGTTTGATTCCCAGTCAGGGCACATGCCTAGGTTGCAGGCCAGGTCCCTAGCAAGAGACACTTGAGAGGCAACCACACATTGATGTTTCTCTCACTCTCTTTCTCCCTCCCTTCCCTGCTCTCTAAAAATAAATAAAATCTTTAAAAAATAAATGATTTTGCTCATTTCATTTGATATGCATTTCACATATTTGAATATTCTAAGAACTTATTTTTAAAATTGATTAAGCAGTTCATCTTGTAAGGTATTGTTTGTAGAAGTGTGATTATTGAATTGTCATCTAGAAAAAACAGCAAGACTAATGTGTACAAAGCCTATAGCAATATAGTTATTGTAGAGGGTGACTTCAACAGGGTTTTTCTAGGCCTTTCATTGATGTCTTAAAGGCCTAGAGTACTCCCTACACACCATTATTACAGCTATTTAGAATATACTTAAATGCAGATTCCAAAGTTGAAGAGAGGTAAGTCAGTTTGTGAAGAGTAGAGATTAAATATGGTAACAGGAAGCAACATATAGATTCAGTAAAAGGTGTTGTTATATAGTAATAACATTTCTGGGTTTGTTACCCCACTTCCATTTATTATCGTGGATTAGGTGAGTCCCTTAAACCCTCAGAGGCTCAAAGTTTTCATATATAAAATTGGAGCACTGTCTACCATAACACATTATAAGGATTAGTGGTAATTAAAGCAACTAGCCTTTAATTAGTATTGTTAATTTCAGCAATATTGCTCAGCCAAGTGTTTCCTGACAATTCCTTCCAGAATGTTTTTTAGTGAACACAAGCTCAAATCCAGTTGAAGATTCTGAAGACAAACTCCTGATTGAATCAGATGTGATAGATAAAACTAAATGTAGAGAAGAAACTTCACTGGGGGGCAGATATAATGAAGCAACCACATTGGATAATCAGAATATTATGAAGGAATTTGAGGTTCAAATACTAAAGCCCCAAGAGAAAAAATCTCCAGCATGTCAAAACCAGCAGGTCATTTGTGGTGAAGAATTGTCAGGTGAAACCAAGAATACTTCATCTGACTCTCTAAAGTTCAGTAAAGGAAATGTGTTTTTACTGGATGCCACAAAAGAAGGAAATGTGGGCCGCTTTCTTAATGTGAGTATATGGGCTTTTTTCCTGTGCTTCTTACCAAAATTATAAGGAAAATATGAATAACAAATTCTAATGCCAGACTACCAGGATTAAGATGTCAATTTTTTCCACTTGTATGACCTTGGGCAAGATATTTAACCTCATACCTTATTTCTGACCTCTAATATTGAGATGATAATAATTGACTCATAGGATTAAGTAAATTATTTATATTTTATATAGTGTTTAAATAGTACCTGGCACATAGTAAACATCTGCTTAAGAAAATGATATAAATGGTATGTAAGAAAATTATTTACATTTATTGAAAGATTTTCAAGATTTGTTACTTCCAAAAACATCTCAGTGGGACTCATAGAATAAATTTCTCTTTTGAGTCTTATATAATACAATAGATCTTATTCAGAGATGCTTCTAATAGTTCAAAAAATCATTTAGAGGTATTTATGTTTTACTTACTTTCAGTAAGTTTTGAATGATTTAGTGGCTTAGTATAGAAAACCAGTACATTTATCAGAATATTGCATTTAACTATTCTACTCCTTTTTTTTATTCCCAAACCATATTCATTTTCTGTTTGTGTGTATGTTTGGTAAATATTTAGTAAGATTTATTTTCATTTATATAGAGAAATACTTATGAGTCCTCTGATTATTAAGGTTAGTTGACATTTAAGACTCCTGTTATCTTCATGATAAGAGGTATAATTTATATTATTGGTCATATTGCCTGTGTAAGGTGGATTTGGCATACCTTGTGGCCTTCCTATTAGACTTTTACCCTATCTTGCTTCCAACCATCAGACATGATTATCAAAGAATGTATGTTCTCAGGAATCCTATAGGGAAAAAAATCCCTTTCAACCTCTAGTCCTATTGTTTATATAGTCTGTCCTGTCTTTGGCGAACTGGACCATGTGGAAGCCCTGAACTGTCTGATTGAGAGCTGAGCCAGGCTCTCCTGTATGCCTTCCTGATCTCTGAGCTCCACTTTGTCTTTGTTTATCATATCCAAGAGAGTGAGGAAATGTCACGGAATGAGGAGAAGGACTTTGATTTCCTCCGCACATCCTTTGGAAAAGTCCACTCTATCACACCCCTGGATAAGGCCTTAATTATTCTCTTTGATCTGTATCTGAGCACTTCTTCTTCCCTGTGGGGTGGAATTAGCCTTGACATTTCCATTAAAATAAGAATGAAAGAAAGGAAGCCTGAATGACTCATGATTATTAAAAGCATTTCTTTTGATACCTTTAAAGTAAGCTCAGTGCCTCTTAAAATGTAACTTTTGAATAGTTTAAAATTTATGTGCAGTGATAATTTTACATGTAATTCAGCTGTCATGAGAAGAAAAAAAATAGTCTTAAGTTAGAAAATCTTTAAAAACAAAGAAAGTTTTCTTCCTAGGTGAATCTGCTAATTTGACTTGTTTCTTTTTCTCCTAATCAGAAGAGTACTTACTTGGTTAGCAGAGAATAGGATCCTCTCTTCCCATCATCTGTTCCCCAACTGCTGTTCTCGTTTTCTACTTTGACTACTTCTACACTGTTACCAGTCATGTCAGGAGATACATTAAAGAAGGATTCCCAGCAAAAGACTGGCTTTATTTCCCATCAGTTACGTTGAGTGGTGGCTGCACCAGCACAATTGGTTTGGTTTCACCTCTCCCAATCAGCACATCAGCCAGGTCCCTCCCTTTGTAGGAGAATAAAAACAGGTTCTTTCCCTCCCACTCTCCCTCCCTCCTTTCCTTCTTTCCTCTCTCTCTTTAATTTTTCTACCTAGATGATACATTTACATGATTTAAAATTTGAAATAAAATAATAAGCCCTGCAAAATATAAACATAGCTAAACAGAATTCTGTTTCAAGGTAGCTCTAAGCCCACCAAGTAAGCACCATGAGTAAAGGTAATAGGCCCCAATTAAAAAATTTATGAACAGGCAGTTATTAACATTGAAATTAAATGCTGGCCCAGATGCTCAAGGAATATCATGATTTGATTCTTTTATGAATCTGGTGATGGATGAATGTGTGGAGATGGCAGTTGGTGGGCAATAGAACAATATTAGAATGGTGGTAATAGGAGGAAATAGTATTGTCATGTGTAGAGGCCTTGAAACAAATAATGGTTAATGTTCAGCAGAAAAATAAGTTACTTACACACATCCCCTTTTCCAAAGGGCCTGTTTTTATTATGGTGTAAAACTCTGTATATAGTCTTCATATTAAACTCCTTTGTTATAAAAAGAAATACCTTGAGAAGTACTACCATATTTTTTGACTATAAGACGCACCTTTCCCCCACCAAATTTGGGAGGAATAATGGTTGTTAATGCTGCTGTTGAGTTCTGTTTACATTTACATTGGTGAAATATTATGTTATTTATGTTATTAAATGTTTTACCACATTTTAAAAAGGGTTTTATTTATTTATTTTTAGAGAGGGGAGGGGAGGGAGAAAGGGAGAGAAACAGCAATGTGTGGTTGCCTATTGCACGCCCCCTACTGGAGACCTGGCCCACAACCCAGGCTTGTACCCTAATTGGGAATTGAACCAGCAACTCTTTGGTTTGCAGGCCAGGACTCAATCCATTGAGCCACACTAGCCAGGGCTATTTTACCACATCTTTTGCTTCAAAAAATTTTTTCCTATTTTTCTCCAAAACCTGGGTGCGTCTTATGGTCCGAAAAATGAGGTATGCCCCATTCACCCTGTCCCCACTCCACCTATAGTAAAATAATTTTTATTACTTTCTTGTGTATTCTAAATAATGTTTCTTTATGCAAATACAAATAAATATAAATAAGTGTTCTTACATAAAAGGTAGCATATTGTAGTCACTGTCCCAAACCATGTTTTTTAAATTAACAATATACCTTGGAGATCTTTCCATATCTGGACACAGAGAGAGCTACTTATTTTTTTTTATTTACAGATGCATAGAATTCCATTGTGTTGATAATACCAGTTTATTTAACCAATTCTCTTTAGATAGTCTTTTAGTTTGTTTCCATACTTTTACTGTTAAAAACAATGCCCAGTGAATGATCTTACACATAGATACATGTGCAGATGTGTCTGTAGAATACATTATCAGAAGTAGGATTGGGTGAACAGATGAATGCATTTATAATATTAATCTTGATAGATTATCTTTTATAGAGGTTTATACCATTTCTCATTTCTACCAGCAAGATATAAGAGTGTCAGAAGACTTTTCTGAATGAATTACTATTAACAGGATTGTAGTGAGCTGTGATATTTTACATATTAGTCAACAAAAAAAAGAGAAAGAAAAAAAAGGCTATGTTGGAAACAATGGTATTGTAATTCTTCAAAGAAGAAGGCATCAAACTTTATGCTATTTCTAACCTCTGTTTTATTTGTTTTTTAACAGCATAGTTGTTGCCCAAATCTTTTGGTACAGAATGTTTTTGTAGAAACACATGACAGGAATTTTCCATTGGTGGCATTCTTCACCAACAGGTTTGAAATTTTTTGTGCCTTAATTTTGAAATTGTGACTTTAAAAATGACAATAGAAGACAAAAGAAACTAGACAGAGGGACAGGATAGGAGCAACAAAAAGGAAAAGTATGAAAATATATGTGCTGTAGCCTCTAATATCTGGTATCCCAGAATATTCAGTTATCACAAACTATTTCTATTCAACCAAATTTTAAAGAACTGAAATTTCGATTTTTATTTTCTCTGAGATTTAATACCCGAAAGAGCTAAGAATGGTAGTTCTCACCCAATTCAGTTCAGGGGATAAATGATGCAGACTGCTACAACTTCATGAAATCAGGATTATCCCCACCTCCCACACTGCAGGCCTCATCACATCACTGGTTTCCATTATTTGCAAAGCACACTTCTTCCTTGAGAATATTGACAGATTTCTTCTGACTCAGGATTTTAGTAGATTGAAAAGGAAACTCAAATAATTATTTTTTTAATGGAAGAGCAATCTTACTTGGTGGTTGTCAGGATAAACTGTATTTTTAAGAATAGTTAATGTTAATATGAAAATTAATATAATCAATTTGGCTAATTCAGGGTAATTTATCATTATTTTTAAATTTCTACTTTCTAGGTATGTGAAAGCAAGAACAGAACTAACGTGGGATTATGGTTATGAAGCTGGGACTGTTCCTGATAAAGAAATCCTCTGCCAATGTGGAGTTAATAAATGTAGAAAAAAAATATTATAAATCTGTAGCTGATGCCTATTCATGAAATCAGCTTATAAAGCTGAAATTAGAGCGATGCAAAAGAATAACCAGTTGTCAGTGGAATGTAGTTGGAATGAACCTCCTTGTCAGGGGGTTCATTTATGTGACTTAGAAATGCTAGGAACAAAATAAGAACATTTTCATAAGCATAGGGTATCTATTCTTACCACTAGATGACTTTATGTATGTAGGATGGAAGTGGATATTTTCAATGAAATACTACTATACAATTTGTAACTTGCTTGTAAATTATATAAGAGAAACTAGTGTCACATAGAATTCAGTTGTTCTTGTTTTTATTGTCTTTGAGTTCATGGACCCAAATGGCCGCATTTCACGACTTTACCTACAAATTTACTTATGTTTACTTCCTGGCAAATAGTTTACCATTATGGGGCATAAGGCAGGCAACAGAGTGAAGAATATAGCTCCATGAAGTACAATGCTGTGAAACCATTTGAGTGAGAAAGGGTGAGAAGGTCTTCTGTAGGGATGATTTTGGCAAACTCTTTGAGGTGAAGCTACTTTCCCACAGAGTTTCTTTACTCCTTCAGTATAAACACAGACAGAAAAAGAGAGAATAGAAACCTGAAGGAGTTGGAAGATTTTTGTTCTGGAATAGAGCCGCAAGAAAAGAAAACCTGGAAACTAGTCAGACTTGATTATTTGGGCCAAAAGGGATTATGTTGGGCAAGAATTTCATTAAAAACTGAGCTGAAGAGCTTGATATATGTACTTGGATTCTGCTGGGTATCATGTACAAATTGTTTTTCTAGAGAAAAAGGGAAGTAGTTATTTTTCTATGGGTTACTTAGCCCTGATCATTTTTCTATTAGAAAGGGGGATGGGAACCTCCAAGAGTAAAAACTAATTTTATTCTTTTTTTTAAAATTTTATTTAGTTGTTTTTCAAGTACATTTTTTTGTCTATTTCTCCCATCCCAGCCCCCCCACCCTGTGCTCCCCACTTCCCTCCCATTTCCTCCCCCCCTAGTCCTCATCCCTGTGTCTTTCATACTTGTTCCTCAAAATCCCTCCCCTTTTTCCCCCTTAAATTCCCTTCCCTCTCCCCTCTGGTCACTGTCCACTTGTTCTCTATTTCAGTGTCTTTGTTTTTATTCTGCTTGCTTGTTGGTTTTGTTGTTTAGCTTCCTGTTAAAGGTGAGATCATACGGTATTTGTCTTTCAACACTTGGCCTATTTCACTCAGCATAATGCTTTCCAGTTCCATCCATGTTGTTGCAAAGGGTAGTAGCTCCTTCTTTCTCTCTACTGCATAGAATTCCATAGTGTATATGTACCACAATTTTTTGATCCATTCATTTACTGATGGCCACCTAGATTGCTTCCAGCTCTTGGCTATTGTAAATTGTGCTATGAACATTGTGGTGCATAGGTTCTTTGAAATTGATGTTTTAGGATTCTTAGGATATAGTCCTGGCAGTGGAATTGCTGGGTCAAAAGGCAGGTCGATTTTTATTTTTCTGAGAAAAATTCCATACTGTTTTCCATAATGCTTGCACCAGTCTGCAATCCCACCAACAGTGAACTAAGGACCCCTTTTCCCCAAACCCTCTCCAACATTTGTTGTGTGTTGCTTTGTTTATGATAGCCATCCTGACTGGTGTAAAGTGGTATCTCATTGTGCTTTTAATTTGCATCTCTCTGATAGCTAATGATACTGAGCATCTCTTCATGTGTCTATGGATATTCTGTATGTCCTCCTTGGAGAAGTGTCTGTTCAAGTCCTTTTCCCATTTTTTAATTGGGTTAGATGTCTTAGAGTGGAGCCATGTAAGTTCTTTGTATATTTTGGAGATTAAACCTTTGTCTGAGGTATCATTGGCAAATATATTTTCCCATACAGTTGGTTGTCTTGCTAATTTAATACTGTTTTCTTTAGCCATGCAGAAGCTTTTTATTTTGATGAGATCCCATTTGTTTATTCTTTCCTTTATATTCCTTGCTCTAGAGGACATATCAGTAAAAATGTTGCTGCATAGAATATCTGAGATTTTCTTGCCCATGTTCTCCTGTGGGACTTTAATGGCGTCAGGACTTATATTTAAGTCTTTTATCCACCTTGAATTTATTTTGGTGTATGGTGTAAGTTGGTGCTCAAGTTTCATTTTTTTGCATGTAGCTGTCCAGTTCTCCCAACACCATTTGTTGAACAGGCTATCTTTACCCCATTTTATGTTACTGCCCCCTTTGTTGAATATTAATTGACTGTACAGAGTTGGGTTGATTTCTGGGCTCTCTGTTCTCTTCCATTGGTCTATGTGCCTGCTTTTATGCCAGTACCAGGCTGTTTTGATTACAGTGACTTTGTAATACAGTTTGATATTAGGTATTGTGATCCCTCCTACTTTGTTCTTCTTTCTCAAAAGTGCTACTGCTATTTGGGCTGGTTTATGGTTACATATAAATTTTTGAAGTGTTTGTTCTATGTCCGTAAAATATGCCACTGGTACTTTAATAGGTATTTCATTGAATCTGTATATTGCTTTAGGTAGTGTGGACAATTTGATGATGTTAATTCTTCCAATCCATGAACAAGGTATATGTTTCCATTTGTTTGTGTCTTCCCTGATTTCCTTCTTCAGTGCTGTGTGGTTTTCTGCATACACGTCTTTTACCTCCTTGGTTAGGTTATTCCCAGATATTTTATTTTTCTTTTTGCTATATTGAATGGGATTTTTTCCTTGATTTTTGCTTCTGCTGATTCATTGTTAGTATACAAAAATGCCTTTGATTTCTGGATGTTGACTTTGTATCCTGCTGTTTTGCCAAATTCATTAATTAGTTTGAGCAGTTTTTTGGTAGAGTCTATAGGATTTTCCATGTACACTATCATGTCATCTGCAAACAGTGACAGTTTTGTTTCCACCTTTCCTATTTGGATGCCTTTTATTTCCTTTTCTTGCCTAATTGCTGTGGGCAAAAATTCCAAAACTATATTGAATGGAAGTGGTGAAAGTGGGCATCCTTGTCTTCTTCCTGATATTAGTGGAAAAGCTTTTAGTTTTTTCCCATTGAGTATGATATTGGCTGTAGGTCTCTCATCTATTGCCTTTATTATATTGAGGAATGCTCCCTCTATTCCCACTTTGCTGAGTGTTTTTATCATTAATGGGTGTTGTACCTTATCAAAAGCTTTTTCCGCATCTATTGATATGATCATGTGGTTTTTGTCTTTGCTTTTGTTTATGTGATGAATTACATTTACTGATTTGCGAATGTTGAAGCATCCTTGCATCCCTGGGATGAATCCCACTTGGTCATGGTGTATATAATCTTTTGGATATATTGTTGGATGCGATTTGCCAATATTTATTGAGGATTTTAGCATCTATGTTCATCAGCAATATTGGCCTGAAGTTTTCTTTCTTTGTTGTATCTTTATCTGGTTTTAAAATTAGAATGATGCTGGCTTCATAAAAGGAGTTTGGGAGTTTTCTGTCCTTCTGGATTTTTTGGAATAGTCTGTGAAGAATAGGGGTTAGCTCTTCCTTAAATGCTTCGTAGAATTCTCCTGTGAAACTCTGGTCCAGGGCTTTTGTGTGACGGGAGTTTTTTGATTACTGCTTCAATTTCATTCGCTGCTATTGGTCTATTCAGGTTTTCTACTTCTTTTTCATTGAGTTTTGGGAGATTATATTTTTCTAGAAATGTGTCCATTTCCCCTGGGTTCTCAAATTTCTTGACATACAGTTCTTCATAGTAATTTCTTACAATCCTTTCTATTTCTGTGGTATCAGTTGTAATCTCTCCTGTTTCATTTCTGATTGTGTTTATTTGAGTCCTCTCTCCTCTTTTCTTAATGAGCCTACTTAAAGGCTTGTCTATTTTGTTTATCTTCTCAAAGAACGAACTCCTGGATTCATTGATCCTTAGAATTGTGCTTTTAGTCTCTATGTCATTTAGTTCTGCTCTGATCTTGGTTATTTCCTTCCTTCTACTTGCTTTGGGCTGTTTTAGTTCTTGCAGGGGTAGAGTAAGGTTGTTTGTTTGAAATGTTTCTATCTTTTTTAGGTAGGCCTTTATTGCTATAAACTTCCCTCTCAGGACTGCCTTTGCTATGTCCCATAAGTTTTGGGTTGTTGTGAGATCGTTTTCATTTGTTTCCAGAAACTTTTTGATTTCTTTCCTAATTTCATTTTGACCCATTTGTTGTTTAATATCATACCATTCAGTCTTCATGATTTTGGGTGTTTTGGATTTTTTCCTTTGGGGTTGGTTTCCAGTTTCAGTCCCTTGTGGTCAGAGAAAATGCTTGGTGTGATTTCAATATTCTTGAATTTGTTGAGGCTTGTTTTATGCCCTATCATGTGGTCTATCTTTGAGAATTCTCCATGTGCATTTGAAAAGAATATATATTTAGCTTCTTTGGGGTGAAGAGCTCTGTATATATCAGGTGCATTTCATGAAGGGTGTTGTTTAATGCTGCAATGTCTTTGTTCATATTTTGTTTGGAAGATCTGTCCATTTTTGATAGTGGGGTGTTAAAATCCCCCACTATAATTGTGTTGCTGTCAATATCTTTCTTGAATTCCTCTAAGATTTTCTTGATATATTTGGGTGCTTCTGTGTTGGGTGCATATATATTTATGATGTTAATGTCTTCTTGGTGGATTCTTCTTTTGAGTATTATGAAGTGACCTTCTGGGTCTCTCTTTATGGCTCTTTTTTTGAAGTCTATTTTGTCTGATATGAGAATTGCTACCCCAGCTTTTTTTTCTTGTCCATTTGCTTGGAAAAATTTGTTTCCAGCCTTTCACTTTTAGTCTGTGGTGGTCTTTTGTCCTGAGGTGGGTCTCTTGTAGGCAGCATATGTGTGGGTTATGCTTTCCTATCCATGCAGCTATTCTGTGTCTTTTGATTGGAGCATTTAATCCATTTATGTTTAAGGTTATTATTGATAGGTACTTATTCATTGCCTTTTTTTGTACCTGTGTTCCTCTCTGTCTGTCTCTTTTCCTTCCTTCCCTTAAAGCAGTCCTTTTAGTATTTCTTGTAGGACTGGTTTGATGGCAGCATATTCTTTTAGACCTCTTTTGTCTTGGAAGCTCTTTATTGGGCCTTCTATCTTGATTGAGAGCCTTGCTGGGTAAAGTAGCCTTGGTTGTAGGCCTCTGGTTCTCATTACTTGGAATATTTCTTGCCATTCTCTTCTTGCTTGGAGTGTTTCCACTGAGAAATCAGTGGCTAACCTTATTGGGGCTCCCTTGTACGTTATTCCTTTTTTCTCCCTTGCTGGCTTTAAGATTCTCTCTTTGT